ATGAATTTGTACTAGTCTGTTGGCTACCGTTAGTGTCGAGCCCTGTGACTCTCGTTTGACACAGCTTGATTTATCTCTTTTTCACAGTCATCATCTGTCAACCTTGTCAGTACATTATGGCAGTTGATGGACGGAGGACTTGAGGAGCTACGGATTCTTCAGACAATCATTCTTCTCATAACAACTTCAAATATTGTTAATGGAGAAAATCTTGGAAAGGTCAGTAAATTTTGGCTTAAATTTGTCCTACAAAAAAAAAAAAAAAGTACAATCTATGGAATAGAACGTGATTAAGAGCTCTTTCCAAAAATAGTATCATGTCACAGCAGTAAAATCAATGGCAATATAAAAGGCATCTTAATTTGGAAATGGCTGGACTTAATTTGTTTAATTTCACTCAGTATCAAGGCCTTATTTAAAAAATAAATCCTGAAATTTTGGGAAAATCTGCCAAGGAATTCCCAAACGCTCCCCAAAAACTGTCCCAAAATTATCTGAAATCAGCTTAAAAGTTAGAATTTTTCATGTATCAACATTTTAAAAAGACATGTATCAACATTTTAAAAAGACAAAATATATTGAACTCCAAGTCTAATGCTTGAAAAATTTAGAAAGACCAAAACTAATCATACGTTTAAAGTTTAGCTAATTCTCAATGATAACATAACCAAAGTACAGTGCATGCTCTGAATGGTGAATTCATCATCCACCATTTGTCCATGGGTGTACGCTGCCGACGTGAACAAAGGCAAAGACTAGTTTTTTGTGTGAACTTGTTTTTTCTGGTCATGTAAGATTTGTTAAATATAAGAAAATTCTTTTGCTACAATGTATCAATGTTATGTTGTAAAACAAATGGTAAATGCCACAGTGTACACTACTGAGTTATGGATGCACTTGGGAGGTTTGCTAAGCACTCAAGAAGCTAGAGTGGCTCTTGGCTATTGCCTCACACAACTCTTACGCTTCTTTCATGCTTAGCAACCTCCTGCGTGCATCCATAACTCAGTAGTGTACGCTGTGGTGTTTACCATTTATTAAATAGATTCAATGTTGCTGTGCATATGTTCAGTAATACATCACAGGCAGGGCTCAAAATTGTGCCTGTATCGGGCACATTTGCGAATAAAGATTTCGCTTTTGCAACTAAAATTTTTGAACTTGCAACTAAATTTTTTGGAATTACTCAGCAATTGCGATTGAGAATTTTTTTTTATTTCAAGCCCTGACAGGCGACGTCAAAATGTCCATCTGGCTCTGCACACATCAGCTTTCACTATAATGGTTTTCTATAGGATTGCATGAGCAGGGCCGGATGGATCATATGATAATGTAAAGAATTATATTCCTTTTTCTTTTTCTCCTTAAAGGCCATGGTCTTGTGCTTCAAGTTGTACTTCATTAAAGATGCAACAATCTGTACAACTGCAGCAGCGACTGTGAGGCAGATGGTGTCGGTGATATTTGAAAGAGTCATCACTGAGGACAAACAGGGCCTGGGTACTAAGCTGTTTTACCTTTGCCCTATCTTTAGGAGGAAATAGTGTCAATTTTTTTTTTTTTTATTCATTCAAATTGGGCTTGATGTGACACTCAAGTTGGTATTTTTTTGTTTTCCCAGCTTCTCAGAATGTGGAAGAAACAACAGGATCAGTACGTCACAAGAACTGTCCTGTAAGTCTGTACCCATGCGGAAGGGATGCTTATCTTCTTTTTCAGGTAAATTTGCTATGAAAGAAAGAAATTTGAGAGGTTGAAGTATTTTCCATTACTTGTAGAAGAAATTTTCAAGGCAGCAGAGCAATCCTTGTACCTGTTGAATGAATTTACAAGAATTGCAAGCAATTTTAGTAGTTAGTAAGGAGTGCTACATGTACTGGTTGCTGGTTTACCAGATCCTGCCTGAAAAAATTTAAAATTTTAAAAAGCACTTGATTTGGATGTTGAAGGCCCCCTTGGAAATCAGTTACAGTCACCAATTTCTCTATGACTCTTATTTTTCAGGATTTATGCCAACTGACAAATGGAGAACAGCCTTACTGGTTGAATGGAGTCAATGAGATGGCAAGAACATTTGGATTAGAGCTGCTAGAAAGTGTGCTGAGAGGCTACCCAAACATATTTCTCAAGGTAAATTGAATTCTTTTAAGTTGTCGGGATGTTCAAATGCACAGGCACAATCGGAAAGTTAATATGTTTCAAGCATCTGAAACCCACAATTATGATACAAGGATTGGTAACAACATAAACCTCCCAAAGTGCGGCAAAAATCACTTTCTAGAAAGTTTCCTTTAGTTAGTAGAAATTAACCATTTATTATTGGTTTCGGAAGCAGTTGACACCCTGTCTATGATAGGTTCCACATTATACAATACAGAGTACATTCTTTTTATTATTTATCTTTTAAGCTTTGTTGTAATTAGACTGGAAGTTCCCCATTGGAGAGCCCTCACGAAAATGTTGCTTTGTATTATATTGCTTTCACGAGTGCCTGATTATCATAATCGCTTCAATCCAATAGACCATTTTACAGCTGTGTACTTAGTTGCCAAGCCTTTGATTTGGAGTGAGGCTGTAGGTGACCTTGTTGTGATAGAGATTGGTATCTAGTTAGCATTATAACAAAGTAATTTACATTTTAAAAAGCAGTAATTTCTGTATCATAACAAGGTCACCCTTAAAGGCTGATAGTTTCTAAAGAAACTGTTTGGGGCTGCATCGGTGGGGGTAACGAATAATTTGAATGTATCAACAAAGTTGAAATGGTAAATTGGCCGCCGTTATGATTATAAAAGCTGACGTTTCGAGCGTTAGCCCTTCATCGGAGCAAATAGGGGAATTGTGGGTTTTGTGTGCTTTTAAAGGCAGAAAAAGGAGCTACGTGATCGGTGGGAACATGGCAATGAGAAAAACACGAATAAATTGTAATTTATTAGTAATTTCGTATATTCAAATTATAAGGTCACCCTTAGCCTCACTCCTGTTCAAAGGCTCAGCAATCAAGTGTCCAAGTGTAAAATGGCAAGTGGTGCTTGAAAGGGTCTAACCATCAATCTGGCTGAGGAAGCACAACTCTTTTTTAATCCTAAATAAAATTTTTGGCCCTGCATTTTTTTTTTCGTCAGCATCCAGAGTTCAGCTTCCTTCTGAAGGAGAGGGTATGCCCTCTGATTATCAAGCTTTTCTCTCCAAGCATCAAACATCGCATAAGCTCCACTCCATTAGAGAAGCCTCTTTATCCTGTGGCAGTTAGACTTCTTAGAATTGTCTCTGTCCTGATCGAGAAATTTTACACTCTTCTGGTGAGCTGTTTAATTTTTATTTTTAATTTCATCAATTTCTTTTTAGTCTGAAAGAGAACAGTAAAGGAATGGTTCCTTTAACTTGACCTACAAGTACATATACCTCCTAACAATAATTAGCATTTTAGAGGTTGAGACAAGATTGCAATCAATACTCCCAGTTCTGATGTTTTTGCTCCAACTGTAAAAAATCCAATCGCGATAAAAGAAACCAGAGTCCGAACTCCATAAATAAATATGAATTAAATGATCACAACATTCGGTTTGAATAAAACTCCTTTCACATTGCAAAAATTCCAAACTAATGGGATTTAAGATAAGCATGAACAAAAACTCAAAGACAACAACCAAACTAAACTCCGAAAGCAAAAAACAACTAAGGTATGCACTAGAAATGTCCACATTAGTTTCCAATGTCAGTTGGTTGATTTATTAAATCCCGTGCACCTTGGGTAAATACTGAAATAATACAAAAGGGGGAGAGGAAAAACTAAATAAAAAGTCGCAAAAAAAAAAAGAAAGAAACTTTCTACACCAACCAATGTATCAGTTGTTTTTTGGAGGGTTGCAACATTCAACAGAGAACTTCATTTGCTTTTCATTAGACTTTACACCTTAACATCAGTATGCATATTCTCCATACTGCTCTCTATACATTTCCTAAGGTGCTGACAAAGAGAATTTGTTTAACAATCAATGAAAGCTTCCTAGGTTGGCAATCGTTTCCTGTCTTCTCATGATCTTAGTGAATGATTCAGCTGTGTTATTGTGAGGAGAAATTAGATGCTGATCGCTCTTAGGGTTTAAGGGGTTGAATGTTTTTTGCGATCGTGCATTACTTAGTTCTTAGTTCTGGTTAATAAGATGTGTATTATATGGCTGTGTCTTATATGCCAATTTTTTTTATTCTTTGTACCTTTTTTTCCTAGACCGGTCTAGATGCCGGTCTAGATGGGAAAATCTAGACCGCTTTCAATATTGATTTCAGCCAATCAAATTCTTGAACTCAGTAGTTCCCAGTCCTTGTGAGACACAGCCATATAATAAAATACATTACAATACAATACAATAGTTTACTGACACTCCCCTCGTGGGGCTTTTCGGTGACAATACAACTAAAAACCGTATAAACATACCTACTTAAGAATTAATTATATAATAAATGTTATCGCTACCTACTATACAATATGCACATTTCAAGTTAAAGTTACAATAAAATTAAAATGCTAATAAGGTACTAAAAACTCTATCACAACGTGCTATTTAAAAGGTAAATAAAGTTCCAGTCAGCTGCACCTTATCTTTGGAATGCATTGCCTTTGACAATTTGCAACATAAAGACACTGGACACTTTCAAGACTGCTGTTAAAACTCATTTTTTAAATTTAGTTTTCAAAAAAATTTTTATTCGTGTCTTATCTTTTGGAAATGCAAAGACAAGCAAAAACCAACGATAACAACCGACGTTTCGATGTCATCGTGACGCCATTGTCAAGGAGAAATAAAACTTTTTACTTGTCTTTGCATTTCCAAATCTTTATTGATGAGAGTCTTATCTTTTAACTATTTTAATGACGAGGCTATTGCTGCCTTTGATTGTATATGGATTTGTAGTATTGAATAGTTTCTTATGTTTTTAGTTGCTTTTAACATAATTTTACTTTGACAATATTGTGAAGTCCAACTGAATAAATCCATTTGGAGGTCTGTTCTATATAAATGTAATTATTGTAAGTTATTATTATTATTATGTAGGTGTTAACTTGCTTTTTAAAAGTGCTTAACAACACTGATGGTTGCTAGCGGCTTAAAACTTAAATTTCTTGAAATACGTGTAACTTGAAGTAAGGATTCACTGTACTTGTTATTTTAAAGTTCAATAAATGGACCAAGATTGACTTTTTCTTGGATATTTTTGGTTATATTACAGGTAACAGAGTGTGAGATATTTCTTTCTCTCTTGGTGAAGTTCTTGGAGCCAGATAAACCTCAGTGGCAAAGAGCACTGGCTCTCGAGGTACTTCATACCCTCACCATTAAGCCAGCCTTGCTCAGGTAAGTTGTTGTTCTGTCTAGTCGAGATCTTCAAAATAATTATGTTCAAGTAGTGGCCAGGTAAGATAAAAATATTGCCTTGTTTCAGGGCTCGACACTAACGGTAGCCTACAAGCCACAGACTAGTAGAAATTCAGTTTTGGCTAGTGGTTTTCAATTTCCACTAACCAGTTTGGCTAGGAAACAGACTGAAATTGTCGTAACATTTAAGATGTCACAAGCCATTTGGCTAGTAAGTTGAAAAGTTAGTGTCTAGCCCTATTGTTTGCTGAAAAACAAGTTTTCTTAACCCTTTGGCTCTCGTGATCTGATTGTTTATTCTCCCCTCTGGCTGCTACACATTTCCTTATAAGTTAGTTACAAGAATTTGGTGTTGGATCAAGGTGAAAGCCTCTGCCTGATAAGTTTGAGTATTCTCATTACCTGTTTTCTGGATAATGTATGGATGTTGTTAGGAGAAGTTACATATTTATCACTTCTGGTAGTTAAAGGGTCAAGGGTGTAAAAATTTTTGATCGCCTGATGTATCATTTATAGACGTTATTTGCATTGACATAAGCAATGGACTCCGTGTTCTATGCGGGACGAAACATTTTTTGACTCAACATTCAAATCATTTTCCGATGAATTCGTTTTCGTGATTTTAATTTGTAAATGATAAAAACATGCTACGAACAGATGGTTTTCTATGGAGCACAATAATTTTAGATTAATTTTTCTTTAAATACTTTCATACCTGTAGGTCATTTTGTCTCTTCTATGACATGCAAGAGCATTCTACAAGAATCTTCCATGATATGGTGAACGCTCTGACGAGTTTTACCCAGGGCATATTCACCAACCTGTCATTGCACAGCTCCTCGCAAAACACAGCTCATCTGCCGAGTGCGAACACAATTCAAACACCTTCCAGTGCCCCTCCTCCATCAGTTGTGGCGCTGAGTGCGATGGGCGGGGTCACTCCGCAGCCCGGATTCTCCTATAGGGGTGCATGGATACCCCTGTCTGTTATGCCCGTTTTGGGACAAGCTAAACCTGTTTAGTAAGTGTTCAGTGAATCACCCCGATTTTCCACCAAAACTTTTCTAAACTGTTTGACGGAAGTTTGAATTCGATTATCAAATCTACAGATATATCCCTGTTCTTCCCCGTAGGGTAGCAAACGCTTTAGGGACCCTGCAGTTGGGGGCGACAGGAATCCTCTGGGGAACCCCCTCTGGTAGGAAAGGGAACCCTCAGCGGAACCCCTCTCCGTGGGGGAAAGACTAATTTTCATGACGCTACCAAAAATAGCTGCAAAGGAGACTAAAGTAACGCTCAACCGACCAAGGCTTTGTGGACTTAGGCCGTGTTTACAAGCAAGGAGGGTAACCCTTGTGCTAGGGTTACCCTAGCAGGCGGGTCCAAGATAGCTCGGGTTTACAAGCAAAATTTCACAGGTAGGGTTACCCTACCACCCGGGACAACTTACCTATGTTTGGTAACCGCACGCTTTGTTATCAATGTTCAAAGGGTCTGGAAACAAGTAAAAAGTTGTCCCGGGTAGGCGAGTTATCCCCAGCAGAACGTTTACAAGGCAGCTAGGGTTACCCTAGCGCTAGGGTAACCCTAGCGCTCAGCTAAGGTTACCCTAGTGCAAGGGTAACCCTAACGGCCTTGTAAACACGTCGATGAAAAAAAAAAAAGAAATGTGGGAGCGTTGGGGTGACCCTCCTGCCAAGGTAACCCTAGCACTAGGGTTACCCTACCTGCTTGTAAACAGGGCCTCAAGCTCGTATTCAGCCGCGCGCTTTGCTAAAAAATCGGAAGGGCGTCTTTGATTTTCCGTTGATAATCGTGCTTTGATAATCGTGCTCTAACACCACGCAATTTTTTTTGTGGAAATGAGTAGATTTGCTATCACTTACAAATCACTGAGACATCGTAACGACTCGTTTCGGGGCTGCAAAAGAGACTAGTTAATGTTTAGCCACCGTAGAAAGATACCACATTTTTTTTTCTTAGCCTTGAGCAGTTAGAGAGGGAGAGTTCTTCGATCTCTGATGGCTACACACTGTCCATCGCCTTTGCCTGTTTGCTGGAGATCGTCAAAAGTCTTGATGTACTTGTACAAGAAAACAATGGTGTGTCAAGTGCTGCCGAAGGGATGGGCTGGATTGAGCCCAAAGAATCAGGAGCAGCCATTGAAACTGGGGTGGGAACTGACACTATCACTGAGAATGATAAAGGTGAGGAATGCTGCTCCGCTTTTTACTTCTTCTTCTCTTACTTTTGCTCTTAAAGTAGAGCGATTTCTCTTTGAAAGTAATCGAAGATGCTTTGGTTTTCGTGGCATTGTTCAATCGGCACTGTGATTGGTCTAGAAATTTCTTATTCTTTTAGTTCTCTAAGTTTCTGAAATGACGTTAGAATTATTTAAAAGGGCAAATATATACTTTGGTTGAACAGAACAGATAAGAAGTAAATTATGCTGTGATAGGTCTGCACTGCATATGTAGCTATCTGTCTCAAATTTTCAATGTTTTTATTGTAGAAAAGAGATCTGTTTCTTATCTCTCGATGAATTTATTCTACTAAAAAAGGCCTTGTGGGTGCAAGTCCAGTTTTTTGCAATCGGCCGTTTTCATCTCCAGAAAAGACTGTCAGTCTGTGTCTCGGTTACCTACCGAATTTTACATTTCGATTCTCTACTGTCGTTATACTCTTTGAGATCATTAAATTATCAGAAGTGATTAACCTGTAACTTCTCCCTAAAATATCCATACATGATCCAGCAAACAGGTAACGAGAATACTCAAACTTATCAGGTAGAGGATGTTATCTTGATCTAACACCAAATTCTCGCAAGTAATTTACAAGGAAATGTGTGGCAGCTGGAGTGGAGAATTAGCGATCAGATCCAAGGGATGAGTTTTTTAAACTCTTTCTTAATGTCTCGCTTGAAAAGAGCATATGCCAAGGGATTCACAGCAGAATTTAGAATTAACATAGGCAGCTTGTAATTGAAATCATGGCAACGGGAATCCGTTGAAATTAATAGCACGAGGCTACATTTCAGGTAAATGCCAAAGCAAATGAGAAACACTCCAATAGCAATAGCCATCATCTTAACTGCAGACTTTCCCTGAGTTTTAGCCACAAGGCGATGGTTAAAACGGAGCTGTTTTGCCAGCCTGCGAATAGCATGCCCTTGTTTAAAAACAACACACAACATTGTAGCGAAATAAAAGACTGAAAACACACACAAGACCACTTCAAAAATCATGTACAACCATCCAGTGACATAAAAGGCAAGAGGTATTTCTAATCGGTATCGAAGTGGCGACACAAGTGCAATAAAAAAAGCAGGAATTGCCCAGGAAAAGAATATCATTTGTATGACTCGGCTACGTCTCATGATAGATAAGTATTTCAAAGGCCTCACCACAGCCATGTACCGTTCGATGACTAAACTGCACAAGTTTGTCCCAGACGAGTATTGGAAGAACACCCTTACGAACATTATAGGTAAGAAGCGATCGGTTGAATTGCACCAACTCGTGAATTCGCAGAAGAAATGCGAAGGAACTGTGTTTAATCCCACGAAAAAATCCGCCACTGCTAAGGAAACAACGAACGCGTTGGTTTTGGTGCGAAGATGTCGATTCCAGCATACGAGGAAGATTACAAAACCATTACCGATACTTGCGAAAATGGTGAAAAACCAAGCTATAATCCAAGCCCATGTTTCCATATTCTATTAACGCTCGTGCTGTTGATATTGCTTATGCTCTGAAACAGTTACTCCATTCATTGGGATCACATTATCGTGTTCATTGAAGGTTGTTTTTTAGACCATCTGCTCTCCTTAAAAATATCTATAACTTTCTCTTTGCATTGTAAATAATATTAACACTTTTTATTCAAATTTTTAAAAGCGTTTTTTTTTTCTCGTCATGCAATATAATAAAAGACTTCCTTTCGCCTAGGTAATATAAATTGACAGCATCGATAATTAATTGGTTCGGTGAGGATATCCAGCACTTTAAATATTGTCTGTCATAGTTCAGTATCATAGTGGTGACCAAATTGAACAATTACGACAAGGAAATTAATTTTTACAAAAAAAACAACTGGAAGCCTATACATGCCATTTAAAGCTTTTATGACTTGTCTACCATTTCTACGCTTTGGATGGCGTCGAGCTCAAATGATGGAATAAAGAAAAAAAAAAAAAGGCCCTTATTAATCAAACTGTATCAGATTTTATCTTTGTCCAAAATGACAGTTAAAAACCAAACGAAAAGGTATCAAACTACACATGAAATTCATAACAGCGCCTAAATATTAAGTAACCTTTCTTTAGTAATTTTTGCATAGGTTCATTTGGCCAGATTCAGTTCCAGCTGATAACATGTGTAGTTTAAATGTCGCAAAATATCTATAGACGTTTGTATGAGCGGGAGATTTTCTATTAATATCAACAGTTGCAGTGTGAGACTGGCGAGTCTTTCTTTAATTAGTTGTTGTTTTGTTGGTAACTTCTTTATAAAGGGTTTTCAGTTATTTTTGCAAATAATGTAGAAGTCAGTAAAATATATAGTATGAATAAATCAAAGTTCTAAGGATATATGCACGTAAACAAGTTGCGGTAACGTTTTCACAGAAAAAGAAAAGTCATATCGAAATTAATCAAACGTAGCACATGGCATTACTAGTATATAATTTCTTTTTAATTATGAGAATCGCGTGAAATTTTGAAACAACATCTAATGCCTTCAAGAAGTTTGAAAGAAACTTCCAGTGGAAATGTGGCACGCAGTCAGAGGGTAGTTTTTGATTGGTCTAGAAAACTCGCGCCATCAATTCGCGTAAATCAATCAGAAACATGATTTGGTCGCGCGCGTTTTCCCGCGCTTTTGGTAGTTTTCCTGTTTTTATTTTGGCTACTCATGACGTAAACTTTTGCAATGATTGTCTGATGACAATCGATCTTGCCTGTCATGCGCATAGGGAAGAATGCTTGTTGATTATACATGTAGCCTTTATATGAAAAGAAGCTCAGAATCTTGTTCTTTAAAAAAGTTGTTAGTTTTTAAACGCAAATTTGCGAAGGGGACATTAAAAAACGACTAAATTTGAACCATAACAATTAAAACTATTGAGTCAAAAAAGGTGCCTCTCCTGAAAATTTTTGTGTTTTTATTTATTTGTTGTTTTTTTCTTAGGATCCAAGGCACCAGACTTATTTCAGGAGATGGTGTCAGCCTCATGGTGTGGTATTTTAGCATCGTTATCTTTGCTGTTGGAAGCAAGGTATTGAGTGAACATCCCGTCCACGTAAAATTTTTTGACAAACGTATAAACTTTGTACCGATCTCAGCCGTAAAGAGACTCGTCTGGAGTGATCCCTCAGCCCGAATCAGCTTTTCCGCCTATTCGGTACAAAGCTAGCAACAAGACCGGCTCATAATTTTATTCAGTTTTGTTTAGAACTTCACATTGGTAGGCCACTCACTCCACTCACCATATATCACGGAATAGATAGCGAGTAGCACAGCCAATCAGGTTGCAGTATTTGTAATAGAACGCTAGTAGATTCATACTGATACTGAAAAGAGTTGAAGGGTTTATGTCAGTCGTGATACGATTAAATTTCTTGCAGCAATGATGAAACAGTTACGGAATCCATTCTAAAATCCTACCAGCTCTACGCCAATGTCTGTGGTATCCTGGGTCTTACAACTCCAAGAGATGCTTTCATCACATCTCTTTGCAAAGCAGCACTGCCTCCACACTACACCCTGACAGTAGTTAATCCCCACTCTGGTACCGCTCAGGTTTCTTATGTCAAGATGCCAATTAGTGGGTCCCAGGCTCTCTTGGATCCGCAAGGAGGAGATCACCGGGCCTTGGGTAAATCAGTTGGCAACTCAGGGGAGACTAGTTCTAGTGCTGTAGTCACAGGGACGCCACTTGGTTCTAGTCATGGTCCAGTGTCGGTGAGTAAAAACGCTGAGTGATGGAGTCATTCTTGTCATTTTAGGGTGATAAGGTCTTTGAACTACGGGCAGGAAAGACGGGTTAGCCCGCTAAACTTCTTAATTCAGACATTTGCAATCCCTAGGAATCTTCGCCATCCACAATTGTCCTTGTTCCTTTTTGTTTTGTTGTGTTTTTTTCTTTTTTTTTCATGCTTTGTAGAAGTTCTTACAATCCGTTATCAAAAGTTTTTGCCCTGGTGAAGGATATTTTTCAAGGGAGACACAGCTCCTTAGAGTCACGATATTTGGTTCAGCTAATAAACAGATCAGCGCCTAAACAACGCCCAAGAATAAATAGTTTTGGGCTGAAAGAATAATTTCACGTGTACGGTAAACTAATCGATTATAAAAATCAGGCTAAGGAGTTGTCTTACAAAGTTTGTTTTACCCTTAGGATGAAACTAACTGCTTCTATACTTTCAGTTGACAGCGAAGAACATTCAATGTATGCGATCATTACTGAGCCTTGCTCACTGCCACGGAGGAATTCTGGGTACAGCGTGGCATATGGTTCTTACCACGCTGCAGGTTAGATAACAGAGAAATGTAAAAAAAAAAAGTGGAACGTATGATTGAGAAATGAAAGAACGAAAACTGAAGGAATGAGGAATGATCGAATGAGAGACCAAGGAATGAGGGATGACCAACCTCGTTCCCAGGGCTTCTCCCTTTTTGATTAGTTTGGCGGGCGGGAAAAGGAAAAAGCCCTGGGAACGAGGTTGAGGGATCACGGAACGGGAATTGATGGAATGAAAAAATGAAGGAATGGGAGATAAAGGAATGAGAAACGATAGAAGTTAGAGATTAGAAAACGAGAAATGAAAAAATTGAGAACTCAAGGAATGAGAAATGAAGAGTAGATCAATGCACAAATTAGGTGGTTCTGAACCAACGATACAGTTTTTTGTCAAATTTTGCCAAAAGATAAAACTTAACTTGCAGGCACGTAAGACCTTAAATTATGGTCTTATTAATCCATGGAGCAATGGATACTGAAAGTAATGAAATATGATTTCAATCTCCATAGCATCTCACTTGGATTTTGGGTCTCAAACCATCAACAGGAGGAACTCTCAAAGCCATGCCAGCGAGCGAGGCCCCTAACCTGGTAACAATTACATTTTTTAAAGACGGGATTGTGATTATAGGCGACTAATAGGTTCTTTTCTTTGAAGCTGCTGCACCATTTTTGCTTTTTTTAACAAATCGACAGTGATTTAGCGTGTTCTGTACTGTTATATTCGTCATCACAGTGTTCAAAATATTGTGGACTCACGAAGCGCAGCCAAGCGAGTCTACAACAAATTTTGACCACGGTCGACTAGTTTTGTTATCACCATATCAACATGAAATAAAACGATTCTTTCAGTGCGTGACGCTTTGCGCGACTCGTTGACGGCGAGCAGCGTTGTTTCTCCTCTTATCGACTACGGCAAATTGGCCAATGAGATTGCGAAAATTACGTCCAATTGTCACGTGGTAAAACCAACTTCTCATTTGGAATCCTTAAGCCATCTTCATACTTTTTTTGTTGACAATTGCCTTTCTTGGTGTGGAGTCTTGTCTGTTTGGTATCGTTCCATTTTTCCATTGCTATCTTCGTCTGTTCATTTAAGTTTACGTCAGTTTTCTACGAAGCAAAAACAGAAAGAAATAGAACAAAAAAATAACACAAACCAACTATCGCAAGGGATTTAAAACGTACGAAGACCAGGTATTTTGAATTATGAATGTGGAAGCAAGTGATTCTTGTTGCAAATAATCTAATTTTTGCGCTGCTTCGTAGAAAGGTTACCTCTTCTTTTAAGTAGCTTTTGTCAGTTGTTTTATTCATTGTAGTGTTATACACAGCTGATAAAATAATTTTTTGCCTATGTTAATGAATATGAATATAGTTTATATCTGACGACTTGCAGCCCAGAGGTTGAATTACGGGTGCAAAAAACAGACGTCAGCATATCAGGCGCCTCTGGCAGCCGCTTCAGTCTATCGATCTCACCTTCCCACCCATCCCACCCCAGGGGAGGACATCCATCACACAGTAATCTCGTGTGTGGGAAATTAACGTCTCCTACCCCAACCCTGCAGGAGACGGGACCTCCATTTATTCGTCCCTATCCGAGAAGACTAGAATATCTAACCATTTCTTGATGTTATAGAAAGGTAGCAAATTCTTCTCAATTATTTTAAGACCTTGAGTTGATGGTCCGGCCGGGGCTCGAACCCTCGACCTCCCGCACAACAGTCCAGCGCTCTATCCATTGAGCTAACCGGGAGGCGGTTAGTGACTGTCTTTGTCTCTTACAGGTAATAACACAAGCAATGATGGCTGAACTTCCGGTCTTAGCTGCTATCTTATCAAGGCTCTTTGAAACATCCAAGTATGTTGTCGAAGATGAATTACAATTTTCAGTTCAAAAACTAAATCAGTCTAGGATTGCGCTGCTTTGCTTTACTTCCCTTTTAACAGTCAGCTAAAAAAAACTCCAACTGCATTATCGATCAGTGAGATGCGATACTTAAACCAATGGTGGTTTGCTGTTTCTCGATTTTGCTTGTACTTTCATTGAGTTCTCATTGGCTTTCACAAAGCTTTTCAAAACAACACAGTGGCTAATAATATGCAGGACACTTGCCGCACACGAATCTACATGCAGTATCTTTGATTTGTCTCTTTTAAAAGTTCTCTATAGCGACAGAGCTAAATAACACATGCGCACGCGCCAGGTTTTGGCGCGGAAACACGGATTTTGAGTCGTTCGCATGGTTGATTTTCTATTCTGTTGCTTCGAGGCGTTGTTTTCCTTGCTGCTTTTCTTTTGCAGAACAACTTCCAAAAACTTTGTACACCCCATAATATTTTCCAAAACTAGCTTTCTCCTTACAAACATTGGAAATAAGAAAATGCCATCGACGACAACAAAATGCCTCGGTTTTAAATGCCAGCTCGTTATTGTTTTGGCAAATTTCGCTAAATTTTAAACCTCGCACCCTTGAGCCCGCGTTGTTGACCGCATACCTTTGACATCATTCAGCTCTGTCCTCTATGGCTCATTTGATGTGAACGCAAAATAGCAGGGAACCACAATCAGCGACAAAACTGTTGACAAATTGGTCTTTTCAATCCCCTATTACTTCAATTTTATCGCTTTTGCCCCCTGTTGAGTTAAGCTATTCGCCCCCTTGCCCCCCTAAAAAATAATGTATCGTGATCCCATGAACTTTTAGCCAACGTTGAATTGGGGGGGGGGGCTGTTAATAATTTATAGTGAGGTAGAAGCAGGAATGTTATTCTTCGCATAAATAGAACTCTTCCGACGAAATGTGTCAACCAGTTTTGACGCTGGTTGTAGCTTGGGTTTCAATCAACTCGGCAACTCAATCTGTTCCCCTGTATGTTTAGATACCTGGATGATGTAGCCCTTCATCATCTTGTAGACGCGCTTTGTAGATTGTCGTCTACATCCATGGAACAAGCACAAAGCAACAAGGTAACAGAAAATATTAAGGAAAAGATTTTAGCCAGATTTTCCATTTTGAAAAGTTTAGCTGAGGTTTACAAGTTCTCGTTTGCAATCCTTGTAAAATTTCTCCAATCGTAGCGAGGCTTATTCCTTTTTGGTTTGTTATTGCACTCGATGTGTTTTTCAATCTCAGCGAACTAATATTTAGCTTCGTTCATTTAAGGAACCGTCTCTCTTCGCTGTTGCCAAGTTATTAGAAACAGGGCTAAATAACCTCCACCGCGCACGCGTTTTGTGGAAACCGCTGACCGCACATCTGTTGGAGGTAAGTTCTTTCACAGCGACAAAAACGAAAAATCGGAAGTTTCCTCCTTTTCCTCACCTACCAACACGGGTCATCTGTGGCTGTATCGTTACCTCTCATTTGGCCAAAAATTAGCCTATGATTCATCGCATATGTGTTTTTTTTTTTCTATGTTTTCCAAGGTTTGCCAACATCCGCACACGAAAATGAGAGAATGGGGCGCCGAAGCGGTGACATCATTGGTTCGCTCAGCTCTGACGCATGACCACGATCTACCACTTAAACAAGACCTGGTAAGTCACGTGTTTTTAGTAAGTAAATGTCATAGGCCGGCCTTATAATTTGACACTGGTAGAAGGAATCGTAAGCAGTTCAACTCGCCTGCCAGTGGAATGACGACAGATGGGTGAACTTAGGAACAGAGGAATGAACATACCACTTTGATTAGTCTAGAAAACTTGCGCCTTAGTGTAAATCAATGAAAATCGTGACTTGGTCACCCGTGTTTTCGCGCGTTTTTGGTAGTTTGCCTGTTTTTACCTCGAGTCAATTATTCAGAACGACAAACACAGACAAGTTGACAGACAGACAGACAGACAATTTGAATATATCAACAAAGTTGAAATGGTAAATTGGCCACCGTTACGATTATAAAAGCTGACGTTTAGAGCGTTAGCCCTTCGTCGGAGCGAAAGACAGACAGACAGAGCGAACGACAGACAGACAGACAGACAGACAGACAGACAGACTAACAATTTGCTCTTATGAAGGGTTGAGGGTCGGAATATTACCTTTTCAAATGTACTACCGCAGTTTACCCACCTTTATCAACTTATAGTTGATAATCAACTCATTTTAACGCTGATAGGGACGCTCTCAAATCTGATGTAATCACAACGGCCATTCAGAGGAAAAGAAATTATCACGAGCAGCCAATGAGAACCCTTTGTAACAACAAGCAAACTGCCTAAAGCGCGGGAAAACTCGGGTGACGAACTCGCGTTAGGTTTGAATCTGATTGGTTGAGAAAGAAGCGGGAGTTTTCTGGACCAATCAGCAATCCCGGATTACTTTCGACACTCAGTTGAAAATTGCAAGTCGATACGAATCACTCAGTCAACCAGTTAAACACACGGATCAACATTGGCAGACACTCCATATATCTTATTAACCAAGCTCGAGGGCCATACTGGGAGAATATCGGCCCGAGGTCTTGACAGTACGGACCGCGCACAGCGAGGTCCGTACAAAAAAAGACCGAGGGCCGATATTCTTCTAGTACGGTCCCGAGCAAGCTTGGTTAATAAGAGATTTATTATACGACTAAAGTTCAAAGAGACACAAGTGCGGTATCATTCGGGACCATTCGGGACAGTGCCCGGTCCAATACTGAGAGAATATTGACCGGCAATAGAGCATTTTGATTGGTTGATTTTAGTTATTGGCCCTCTGACTGCCCGGGTCGTGTAATAAGACCGGTTATTGCCATAGATCAACTCTGATTATCCACCGACTGTAGTGTTTTCTCTCCGAGGTCATGGGGAAAATGGATACTAAAGTTACAATCTTTTTTTCTGTTTGCTCCTACAGCAATTACAATCCATGATTCTGAGTCCACTCCAAGAAATGTCAAATATTAGTTTTTCTGATATTCGCTATAAACAATTGGAATGTGTACTTCAGGTAAGGGTATCACTGTCTAGTTAGTTTTAAAAAATGTCAATATCATTTTTGTGGCTAAATGTTTCGCGTCTGGTATATTTGAACGCAGAAACCTCGAAAAAAGAAATTTCACAATATAATTC